CAGCCATCATCTCATGGAGACCTGCACTACACAGCATCTACACTGAGCTTGTGAATCGCAAGAAACGTTTCCAGGACCGAGGTTCTGCTGTCCATGCATCAGCACTAGAAGAGGTGGAAATTGAGCAAGAGCGCGAGGCCGAGCGTGAGGTGGAGATCGAAGTTGAAAACGTTCGCGAAGTTCAACAAGCACTGCTGTTCAACGCCCACAAGGTCAAACCGCTGCACGAAGACATCAAGCATTTCGCAGCGTTTGGACGTCTCGTTCCAGGAAGCGATGCTTACCAGCCGATGTTTTCGGTGCTAGGACGAACGACTTCGCTGGGCCGCAAGCATACGGTGAACTCATCGATGAAGTCAGGCTTGTGGATCTCAGCTGAGTATTCTCGCACGATCGAAGTCTACGAGCCCAACGACAACTACATCCGTTCTTCTCATTGGCTTCTTTGGAGTACAATCGGTCAACAAGCGCTGCTCGTCAGCCCAGAAGAAGCCGATCAGCTCATACCGGCCATGCAAGAGCAGCCGCAAACATCGTTGAATGATGGAAGCGTTCACCTCATCATCTACGCTGCACCTGTCACCCGAAGGATGCTCCATTTCAACCAGCTAGACTATTACGCGATGCCGGCTTTACCCACAGACTTCAAGGCACCTGTCTGGCTTCGTGTCGAGATGGGCCTCTTCGCTGGGCGGCTCTACCTGGAATGGGACGAGTACTATCAACTGCTTGAATACCTTGGTCTTGATGAGAACCTATCCCAGCATCGCGAGAAGGATGCGTTCGCAAAGAAGCCTCTCACCTTCGGTACGTATGTCGAATATGTAGCAGGCAATGGTTCACTAACATAGGCACAGTACACGAGTGGCTTGCCCTCCGCCGCAAAGGTCAGGACTTCGAGCACACTCCCATGGGCTTTGTTACTACTGGTAAGCCGCTTACGGAGAATCATCCATTCTTCCGCAAACTCGCACACGGAGATGATCCTGCTCTACGTCAGCATGTTGCCCGTGCCGTACCCGGCCAGCTCGATTCTATGGAAGAGGAGGAGGACCATGATGATCATGATGATGAGGAGTTTGTTCCCGCTGTTCAGCATGTGGACGACTCGGAGGGCGAGGACGAAGGCTTTGAATCTAGCGATGAGGAGGCATTCGTTGATGCAGAGGATGGAGAGTGAAGCTGTGCGCTCAGCGCGTCAATTGGCACATGTACAATAACACAATAGCAACAAGTAAAGACTCATACGCGTTTCGCGGTGGGCTCAAGGTACCGACTTCTCTCATGCATGATACAACAGGTGGCAATCAGGGGTTTGTGGAATTCAACAGACCCGAGGCTAATGTGGTGTGATTTGCCGAACCAGTCGACTGGTAGGTAATAAATATTGCTATATCCATATAGTATGGTACAATTGAAGGGTATCTCCGCACTTGGGGTAAGGGTACATAAGCTGCACGTCCTGCACTCAGGACCCCCTTCGCCTCTTGGTCTTCGGGACCGCATTTCTTCTTTGGTGCCAGTGTGGCACTGCCCCTTCATTCCGGTTATGCGGCTGTGCTAAGCCACACCTTATCGCGCCAAGCATGTCCAAGGCATGTAGTGCGTGTCGAACTCGGGTCCAGCGAGGGAACTGCGCTAGTGGTGCCTCATACGGTTTCGGTCGAGTTGACGCGGGTGTACATGGGGAAGCGCGAGGTCTTCCACACGGCGAACTTCCTCACTGCGAAACTGCACGGTATAAGTCTACATTCTTTCACGATGGCAAACCCAGAAGTTTTAACGCCACTCCGTCTATCGCGCTTCTATGGAACCACTGTATGGAAATAGACTTACTATATGACGAACAGCACAAAGATGAGAACGAAGATGTTGGCGACAGGATGGGAGATGGTCTGGTGTAGCATGCTCTTCGCGCCGGACGTGCGGTCGCCGCTCTCAGCTTTCTTGGCGAGGTCAATGACCCATTGCGCTGCCTCATCACCGAACAGGTCGAAGTAGTTCAGGTGCTTGGACATGTCTTTGTTTTCGCTCTGGGGTGCACAAATCGGGTCGCCGGGCTGGCAGTATTCGCGGAGCTTGCCGGCGTCAGCATAGGGCTGGAGTCCTGCATTCTGCTCGGCTGTCCGTGGTGCGCCGCCGTTTGAGATCTCGCCGCCGCCATGAGTGAAGGTTTGGTTTGCGGAACGTCGTGTAGGGCCGAATACGACTGCTGCTGCGACTGTGAAGATGTCAGTATGCAATTCAAATTCGATCTGATAGCCGGAACATACCCTTGGAGCCAGGCGCACCTGTAATGTTCATGGCCGGGTTTTCTTCTTGCGTGCAGCCCCATAGTGGACCACCACCGCCACCAAGCACATCAAGCATGACGCTTCCACCCTGGCTGAAGCCCATCACGATCAAGTGGCTGTCTGGGCAGCGGGCAGTGTAGTTCCTCATCTGCTCGGCGCCGTTCATGGCACCCTCGTGCGAGGATATGCACCATCGCTCTCCACCGTTCATGGCCCAATACTGCACATCCTCATATCCGCAAGCCTTGGGGTTTTCCTTGGTATTGAGTGCGTTGCACACTTTGCCGACAGTCTCGATGACGTGACCCGGGTAGGGCGAGGTAGAGCCGCGGGCGAGGAAGTGATGGTAGGTCTGACATTCATCGGTCTTGAGGGCTTCGAATTGGGGACAGTCTTCGAGCTTGGTGCACACAGCGAATGCGGTGGAGGCGTAGAGAAGCGCCGAGAGCGCTATCCGGGGTATCATGGCGGATGTGGAGAAACGAGAAGGCAAGAGCGAGGGACGAAAGAAAGAGCGACTCGGTAAGGACGGGTGGAGCGGTAGGTGTCTCGGGGACGGGTTATCGAGAAAACAGGGAAATCGGCAGGTTGTTCGCTCGAACAGACGATAAGGGAAAAGACGACGACTGAAGGTGAGAAAACAGAGACATCACATTGAAGATGGGGTGGACCGGGCTACCGATCTCTCGTTTCACCTCCTGGCATTCCTGGGGAAAGGCATGCGCGTACCAGAAGACGCCAAGAAGGCTGTCGACATGCTTGACGCTCCTATGCGGCCCTGAATGGTTTGAGAATGGTGATGATAGTCGTAAGCCAAGCTTTTTGGCGCCTTCCCGCCCGGAAAGAACGGCTGGTAGTGCACCAGTGCGCCTGTCAGCCCGCCTCACAGCCACACCAGCGCCGCATCTTGGGGGACGCTGCCGAGCGCGCAATACGAGCGGACGAGGCGCAACACTATGACGGTGAAGAAACAAAAGACGTGTTTTGTGAGGCGACCCGAACCGCTCCAACTGCAGAATTCTTGCGGCAAAGGTGGGCCAGGTGGGAATTTCAAAGGATCCACGAGAAAATGAAGTCGCATGACTCAGCTTGACGCGTAACCCGAAATGCGTGTCCACTCAGTAAGGGGCCTCTCATCAACCCTTCCCTCCGCCCACGCAACCTTCAACCGAGAATACCCTCGATGGCATCCCACAATGATCACAATCTCTTCTCGTTTGACCTACTCGCTCGAGAGATTGCGGGGAAATACTCGGCATTCTGCTCGAGATTCTGACACTGATCTGATAGCTTTCCATGCCAACACGGCCATCCAAGAGCAACACTTTCGTCATCCAGAGCGACATGCCAGCAGTAGAACACTGCGCGATTCCTATGCGACTTCCCACGCGACTCCACAGATACGGCCACTTGGTACCTTGCAGCGGAAATGGAGTGATGATTGATGTGTCGCGACCCACGCGAACTGTTCTGGCTGCCCTCTCGTTCGATCGCAATCCAACGCCGACGGCTACCTTATGCGACTCCTTCTCGGCTCCTGCGGCCTTGTACCTTGCAATAGCGACATCGATGCAGAGGAAATACCTCCTTGTTCAAGTACCGCGATCCCATTCGCGCTGTCTGGCTCGGTCTGGAGGTGATTCTCGACCTGCCTGGGAAGCTGTCAAAACGTATCGCATACATCTGGCCTCGAGGTTTGTCGCGCGACACCGGGCTTGGCCATCCCAACTCCTCCGCCATGCCAACCGTCCGTGCGTCTAGGCTTCCCAGTGCCTCACTTTCACTGGATGTAACATGGTGAGATTGAGGATGTCGGCCGACGTTTTACCGCGCGAAATTTTTGCATTCACTGCCAATGCGACCCAGCGTAACCTTGTTCCGGTTGTCGTCTTCCTATCTCCTGGCGGAATTGGCGCAGAGCACTGATTCAACGTCTGTACATCGTCTGAATATTCGGAGAGTTGCTGGCATTGAGAGAACGCTCGCACCACTCGCCATCTGAGACTGACATACATCGCGAGGTGCCCAGACCTATGACGATGGTGGCCAAGCTGCCGGATGTCACACCGGCCTTCTTCGGCACGGGTCTCGCATCATCCAATGCGGCTCTCACTAGCGCGTTTGCTCCCGACGTGGATGGACATCAGACGTCACCACGACCCTTCTCCGCATGCGATACAGCTTTTGATAGGAACGGGAGCGTGGGAAGGCTGCGCATCGTCCGGAAGGACCCAGCGTGCCGCACTTGCGCGTTTCGCGAAACACCAAGTCGGTCCCTTTACTAACAGCTTCATCTATACGGCATCTGGGGAGGCCCACATGCCTGAAGTGGATAAAAGAGCCATTCGGCCTCCACGCTTCCAAGAGACCCTGCCCCCGAGTGCCACCAGCTATTGGGTGCACAGTCCCCGTTAGAGTTCGGACGCATTTCTCACCACGCTATCAACAGCTACTGTTCTTGGTCCGAGTGCGATGTGCGGTAGTACGTAATTCTCCATGTCCTTGAATTCCTCCACACTGCGCTGTGACGGTTTCATCTCTTTACCCATCCATCTCTTTATCTGCTCAGCTTAGCCTCCATCAAATCTTCTCCATCAACAACTTCGTTTCTTGACTACTTCCTCCTCATCCCTTCCAATCCTCCCACTTTCACCACATACAACACGAAAACGATATATGCAGGCGTAAGTGCTTGACCTCCTAACCATGGACCACAAAGATCTCGCTTCTGCCCACGGCGACGTTCCCATGCAACATACAAATGAACTCGACAACAAGCCCAATGCTCTCAATGCCCTACCCGTATCTGCCCAGCGACCTACTATTGCCCTTGCAGCAGACCCAACCTACGATCCGCAAGACCCTCTGCGACAGAAGAAGCACGGAGACCCTGAAAAACTCGAAACCTACTCCGAAAACGATACAAACCTAGGCGACGTTACCGACATCCAGAATGCAAGCAAACGACCCACAAGCAGTAGCGACGCTAAGAAACTCAACACCACACAAACTGTCATCATCTTCGTAACGAATGAGGTTGGAATTGGCATTTTGTCGTTGCCAGCCGCTCTCAACACTCTCGGGTTCTTCCCAGGTATCGTCGCCATCATTGGCATGGGAATGCTTAGCTTGTACACCGCCTACAATCTCATCCAGTACTGGCGCAAGTACCCCTACATGCTCAACATTGTCGACTACGGACGCGTCCTCGGTGGCCCCTGGCTTGAACTCGTCTTTGCCATTGGCTTTTTGATCAACATGGCCCTCATCAGCGCATCCGCAGTCGTCACCATCTCCATCGGTCTTAACACGGTAAGCGACCACGCGACCTGCACGGTCGCCTTCACAGTCGTCGCGGCCATTGCCATGTGGGCTATGTGCGTACCCCATAGCATGCGCTTCGTGTCATGGGCATCGTGGCCCTGCACCATCTCGATCTTTGCGGCTGTAATGTTCGTTATGATTGTCCTTGGTGTCCAAGGCCCCCGGAACGCGGGAGCACCACTCAACCTGAAGGCCATCGGAAGCCCCACTTTCACGGAAGCTGTTGCTGCTTTCCTGAACATCGCCTTTGCTTTCAGCGGGAACCAGGCTTTCCCTACTGTCATCGCTGAGATGGAAAACCCTTCTCGTGATTACCCACGCGCTGTCACGATTGAGAAGTGTGTCTCTACTTCCATCTACTGCATTGTCGCCGCAGTCGTCTACGCACTTTCCGGCGAGTCCGTCGCCTCGCCCGCGCTCGGATCTCTACAGCCTTTGATGGCAAAGGTTGCATACGGACTCATCTTTGTTGGACTTCTTGGAACTGGTTTAGTGTTTGGCATGACCGCCGGACGCTACCTACACGTCTATTTCTTGCGCGTGATTGGTACTCACCAGGCCAAGAAGAATGGTAGCTTCAACGAAGAGGTCTCATCTTCTTCCGGTTCATCACGCGGCCGTCGCGCCTCCGTCGCTATGAGCCACATGGGCCAGAAAACTGAATGGGCTGTCTGGATCTTCTCTGTGACCTTGTTCTGGGTCGTCGTCTGGATCCTCGCCAACGCTATTCCAGTATTCAGCTCCCTTCTCAACATCTCTGCTGCGCTTTTGCTATCATGGTTCACCTGGGGTGTTACCGTACTGTTCTGGTTCCACCTCAACTGGAACGGCAAGTGGCGCTCGAGCAAGAAGAAGATTGCGATGGCCGCGTTCAACGTCTTCATCATGTGTGTTACCCTTTTCATGGTGGTTCCAGGCATGTATGCCAGTATCGACGCGTTGCTGAACGTGTTTGCCACTACGGACGTCAATGGCGCCTTTACGTGCGCAGACAACAGCATTCTGTAAATGCTACGTGCAACAAGATAAACGAATAAATTTTCCATTTCTACCGACTACATGGTAGTCTACTTCAAATACTCTTTTCTTGTTATATTTACTTGCTCACTACACCTTTCAATTTACTTTGACTCATATGATATACATGATGCAACTCAATAGTTTCGAAGAAAACTGAGTGTTGCACCTCAAGGGACGTTGGCGTCGGCGCCGAACGCACACGCCATGCTTGAGGTTTCCACGATTAGCTCCCAGCCACCACCGAAAAACGGCCGCGACTACCGAGCCACAATCCCTAAACACATCTCTAGGTCCCTGCATATACGTCCATACTACGACGGACATGTTTTTTGTACATTTCGGACATGATTTTGACATGTCCGCGTCGTGAGTACCGACATAAAAAACGTGGTGAAATGATTACATCACTTCTACATCATTTCGACATCCACCCCAAAACGTCACGCAGTTTTGCCCCCTGTATCTCAGGGTCTAGTCTATCTATTCCCGGACTTGTGCCACCCATGCAGGAACAATGGCTGCGCATAGGCTGTGAATTAATGTAAGTATCATTGCCGCATCATACAAGGTGCTCGGCTATGATGCCGACGACTTGCCGTCGCGTCGATCTGGCTGTCGCCCGAGTATAACAACACGCTGGAGGCAGCAAAGCACCAAAAGTCACATTCAAACTCTGGATTTTTCCCCAATCTCTACCTCAGTCACGTTCGTCCGCAAAGATGCAGCACGTCCTACAAGCCGGTCTAAGCTCGGGGATGTCAGCCGTGACTGGCATTCACAGCGGCAAGCACACCAAACCCAACCCAGTGGACCCTTCATATGATGGGCTTGCCGCCGTAATGCCAGAGGATTGGGTCCCAGCTGCTGACGCCAAGGTTGTATACAAGGGAAAGAACGGTGATGTCCACGCACCGCCACTATGCATCGGCGCATGGTCGTGGGGTGATACCTCTACCTGGCACTGGAAGCCTGAGGAAGAGCCCCATGTAGCTGCAGCCTGGAAGCACTGCCTCAGCAAAGGCGTCAATTTCATCGACACCGCCCAAGTCTATGGTACAGGAATGAGCGAAACCATCTGTGGGAGACTAGTCCAGGGCCTTCCCAGAGACAGCTTCGTCATGCAAGACAAATTCTTCGTCGTACCACAAGCGAAAGATGTCCTTCATCCTACAATGGCACCACTGAAGAAGCTCGAAACCTCACTTAAGAACTTCGGCCTTGATTACATCGACATCTACCTTGTCCATGGGCCCATCCATCTCCAGACCATCTCCATGATCGCCAAAGGCATGGCAGAATGCGTAGAAAAGGGCATGACCAAGACCGTTGGCGTAGCAAACTACAGCCTCGCAGACATGATCAAGATGTCAGACGAACTAGCCAAGTATGGCGTTCCCCTTGCCATCAATCAAGTCGAATTCTCTGTCCTCCGCCGAGAACCGGAACTCTCTGGTCTCCTTCAGGCTTGCAAAGAACGCGGTATCGTCCTGCAGTCATACTCGTCGCTTGCCCAAGGTCGTCTTACGGGTAAATACACGGTAGACAACCCGCCGCCAAAGACATATCGCTTCTCTAGCTATGACATGAAGGATATCGAGCCTGTCAATGCTTTGCTGAAAAAGATTGCCGAAAAGCGCGGCGTGCCACTGAGTGCTGTGGCGCTGAACTACAATATGTGTAAGGGAATCACACCTGTTGTGGGTGTGAGGAAGGAAGAACAGGCGGTCAGCAATTGCGCGGCATTAGGGTGGAGGCTCAGTAACGAGGAAATTAGGGAGATTGATGGGGTTAGCTTCCAAGGTCATACTACGGCTTTGTGGCAGCAGGGTTAAACTGGCAGGCTGTGGAGAAAGCAAATTGGAGATGTTTTGTAGTATCAATTTAGTGATACCCCTAATCCAAAATTTATTCAATTCGCTGCCTTGTGTAGGGAGCAGATCACCAGGTGCGGTCGCACGTCGTCATCTGCACTTGTGTGGATTGCCTCGTATCGTAGAGATTGGATGCTTTGAAAGACCAAATAGATTGTGGGTCGTAGACTCTTCGTTTGTAGAAGCATGAGTATCCCTCAGGTTCCGCTAATCCGCGCTAGTCTACGGTTGCAGCTACATCTGTACGTTTGCCTACTGACCCGACAGCTATTCTTCTTAACTCCGAAATTGGCAGGCAGTGACACATCTTCACTACTTGGTTGGAACATATCTGCTTATGTCATTAAATCTGCTTATCCACCTTAGCATTAAATGTATTAGAAGACTGCAAGGGAAAAAAGACGACGTCAAGGCAGTGGAACACTGTATTCGGTCCGCAGTCGTGGTCTCGGTACTGACCAATCCTGAGTAGTAGAGAAGTGCATCTAGTGGTAGCCACCCCACGAATAAGGGTCCGAGACATAGGTAATTTTGAACATATTCATTCTCGTCCTTTTCCTTTTCGTGTCTTGTTGATGTCTCTCTGTGACCGGTAGTTTCCGTCCCGCTTCCAATATCACCTGCCTCGAACACCCGATGTATTTAGAAAAGCACATCTTTGCGATCCCTGGCTACTCACCTGACTCTTCATCTGCGTTAACTTTCGCATTCGCTACCAGCAGCCGGCGTCCCACTCAGGAGATAAGGCATTTACTTCTCCACTGCCTATCCGCCACCGCCGTCGTCGTACGTTGTCCAGCGATCAATGGATCTTTTTCGCACATTTACACTTCCGACAACCAATGAAAGTATCACGACTTCCCTCGCACTCTGCCTCGCCGTTTCAAGGCGTGCTGCTTACACGGTTTATTGGGGTCTGTGCTTGGTGATCCTTCGACACGTACGCAATGGGTGCCATACACTATCTATTAGTGTGTATCAGCAGGTGGACATACTGACTTGGCCAATGTTACTACTAGGTACTACGGACGTAGTATGATGAGATGTTACTAAGGGTTTCGGGAGCTAACTAGTTATGGGAGGTAACTAGGTGCGCTCCACTACCCTGAAAATTATCTGGTAACAATGGATCGCCAGAACAACACGTAACTACTACAGGGTAGCCCATAGATAGACTCCGGTGGAAACGATAGGCCGTGCCAGTTGACCTCGGAAGATGTACGAAGTACCTAGGTAAGATCCAGATGTGCAACTTGCAGCTTAAATGCCCCTAATCACGCACTAAATCATCAACCTTACGGCCCTCGGCCTCATCTACTTCGGCAGATCGCAATGCTAAGTACTCGGCTAATTGCTTAGTCCTGGACAAGAATGCTTGATACACCAGGTCCGCTTCTTGTTGCGCTTCCAAGATAGATCGCGAACCTGTTCTCAACATCACGGACAACACAAACATCTTCAGTGTCTATTCTCTTTTGCAAAAGCCAGATCCCACAGCGAACAATTCGCGGCGGTGACGGCATACACAGAATAAGCCTTTGCTCAAGCTTGACAGCTCCATCTTTCGGCGACGTTAATGCAAGGCCCGCGACGCTAATGTAAGGCCCACGGCGCTTGCTCTCATGGTTCCACCGCTCCGTCCCGTCGCTCTCTTACCGTATACACTACTAGTGTATGTCTTCATGAGTCCACTGCTACGTACTCTTCTCCAGCTCTTTCTCTGTGTTCCAACCAATGACCGTTGCCATAAGGATCAGGCCTCCAGAAGTCCCAAAGGCACATTCTCCGTACGCGTACTGTGTTTCTACGTCACTAAGAGAAGAATTAACATATATAGGCAGCTTCTGTTCTGCTTCCTTCTTATTTCACATCTGAACACACACAATCTCTCTTTACAGGAACCCCTACGAGAACAAAAATATACCCTCGAACGAATCTCGATCCCGAACACAATGCAGTTCAAAGCTCTAGCCATCATTGCCTTCATGGCCCTCACCGGCTCTGCCCAGAAGTGTGAAAAGGGCAACAACCACAACGCTGGAACGACCTGCCACGGCGCGACCGGAAACCTAGCATGCAGCAACAACTTGAAGCACGTAGTAAGTACTTTGGCGACCGCTTCCAATCACTAGACCTCATCTGCTGTTAAGACTGAACTAACACCGTTCTAGCTTCGGTGCGGTGAGGATGGTAACTGGGCCAGGACCGAGAACTGTAAGTTGTGATCACAAAAGCATGGCCTCTGGTGCATCTGTTAATGTTTTGTCTGCAGGCGGTGCTGGACTTTGCCTCAGTGGTGCATGCCACTGTGGTTAAGGGCGATGATCCTTATCACAGTAGGAGATATCTGATGATCTAAATATATACGATCCGGTTGAGATGAAGCAGATGGGAAAAGGAGCGGGTGGGATCTACTTGGAGTGCTATGCATATAGCTAGAACAAAGAAATGTGAGAGCGCCGCTCATCAACCATTTGGATGCGAGAATGTGATGTAGTCACTATAAGTGCAAATTGAGCCGTGATAGATATGATTACCTGCATCAGTCTTGACACATCGTAGCTCCTAGAGGTGACACCGTATACGATGAACGTATAATGGTGAGAACGAGCTGGTTTGATTATGTGCCGATACAGTGATTAACGTCTGCTAGAATGATGCCGATAATAGCTAACAAGTACTGTCTTGTTGTGATATGACCATTGTTGTTGTTGTTAGAAGGTCCGATAGTCTTGGAAGTCCTTCGAGGCAGACTTCCGTCAGTGTGCTCCAACAATGCTCCCCAAGCTGCGTTCACGTCTTAGGTTAGTTGCGAATGTTACTAGAGCTGCATACATCTACCATGAGGCCAAGTACGACGTTGTGTCGATCTCTAGACGTATCAAAAATACTCAAGGCGTGTGGCGTATCTATCGACTGAGGAATGGCTAGCGTCTTAGCCTTAGTAGGCATACAGAGCTGAAACCTAAAAAGCAATCCCTTATCTCCGGGAACAGCAGTATCATTACCCCCGGACGGTCGGGTTAGGGTCGAGAACCAATATCGCTAAGCATATTCGTCCTTGGCCCTACTTTGACCTAAGCCACGTCGGAGTAGGCGCCTTTGCCCCTGACCTCTACACCTAGGACTGAATACTGCCTATGCAGGGAAATAGTATCTGCTCCCTAGATGGCACCAAGACACCAACAGACGACACTAGATCCGAGGTCGCCTGTTGGAGAGCGAGAGGCCTGTATTGCATACAAAGACAGCTGACCATGAGTCTTTCAATTGGCGCGGCATTGCCAACGAATGGACCCTAGGTACCTGTGGATGGCTGTACGCATCTATAAACACCTGAGTCTTGCGTGTCGTTATCGAATTTGCGGCAAACACCTTACTTTTCTTGGGAGTTGCATCATATCCGCGTAATTTACAAGTCGGGAGTGGGGATACCAGGGCACGTATCATACTATGTACTCTTGACATAAGATCGCGCTGCGGCAGCTGTAGCACACTCAACGAAAGACAGTGTTTGTGTTCGCCTAAGTAGTTACTGGAGCGGCTGCAATCAGATGGCGGGGCCGCTGATATGACCACAAAAGCATATCGACAAAGTCCTTATGAACAACAACCAATCGCAGACACATCGCGAATGATCAATTCGCTTGGTTGATCGTTTTGAAGACGATGAACAGGAAAGTCGAACGCACGAGGCACGGAAAGAAGGAAGGACTAGGAGGTGGGTTAAGTTTACACTGAACCGTTCATTGCTCATCCTCATTTCGATATTTTCAACTACTAGGTCGTTGTGCCGTGCTTGGTATGTGCTTGTTGATCGCGTATCCGTCATTTGGATTTTTGTGCGATGCACCCGTGTGGTTTATGAGAGGTTCATGAAATTCTCTTGCCTGACAGGTCCTCATCGTGGACCGTGATCTATCATGACGTCGTGGGTAAGATCTTTCCGCAACTCCAGCGGGGTTAGACTGCGATATCTGGGCAAGCTCGCACGTGCTTAGACGGCCTTGCGTCGAACTAGGAAAGGAGAACTGGAGAGTTCCGCTACGGGTAGTCAGTTGACCGATGCTTTTCTTCGGTGAATTTGTTAGTCTTGTTAGCATGTTATCCGAGATGAAATGGTGGTCGAGCGGGAGCGAGCTTGCAAATAGGCTTGCCTCGCAACCTTGATGAGATTGTAAGGAACGAGCAGACGCAGCATCCGCGCGCGCCGTTCCGGGGACTACCGGCAGGGCGAGAAAATGCGGGCATGATGCCAGCTGATGGAGTTGTGAAAGTGCCGCAGCACGTGTAGATAAGATAGTCATGATCAGAAGTGGAGATATCAGCGCCGATCAGGGGTAAAGCACGTACCTCACCCCGGTCATCCCGCTATGATAGCAATCTTACACACCACTTCATTCGCCCAATACGTTTCATCGATCATGGAAAAGGCTTAGCCCTCATTTTCGCTAGATGCCGCAATCCTGGCCGGAGGAACATAATAGCTAGGAGACACCCCAAGGTAGATTGTGCCGGTTTCCCTACTTTTGTACTACCTGCCCACGGTACTAGTCCTAACATCCACGCACCTTACGTGGTGGTGTGGGAGAGTAACCATGTCGTTTTTGGGCGACCTCTTCAGTTGTGGTCGGGCGAGACGGACGCGCGAGACGTCGACGGAGCCGCTTGAAACAAACGACGCGACGCCCGAGCCCGTCAACGCGCATGGAACTACTGCAACCACCGACCACCCCACGATTGAGAAGCCGAACAACATCCCTGCGTCCAATGAAGACGGTATCGAGCGCGTCGCAGGTCAAGTGCGAGCGGATGTACAGCCTGATGTCGAGAAACGTGGTAGCGGATTAACCAAGGATGATGATATAGAGCTGGCTATCATCCCCGAAAAGTCGAAGCCAACTACGGGATGGATGGTCGAGCAGAGGGTCCTCGTCACAGCTACGCCTGCCACCAAGCAGGACACGTCTGTGCCAGTGCTAGAGCAGGAGCCCGAAGAAAAGCATGAGCAAGAACACGAGACACGCGCACCTACCCCACCTGTTCGTTGCGCCACGCCTGAGCAGGAACCATGGAACTCAACTCCGGTTGCGCAAGCAGCAGAGCCTGAAGTTTTCGACATCGCCATCAGTACTCCTGTTCAGTGCGCGACGCCAGAACCAGAAACTCGTGCGACCACCCCGGATGTGACAGCGGTTCATGAGCAGACACCTGAGCAGGCTATCACGCTCGTACAAAATGAGACCTTGGAACCCGCCCTCGCTGAGCCCGCCTCGTCCACCGTTGAACTCGATGATGCCGTTGAGCATGTTCCGACACCGAAGAAGTCTGCGCCAGTCCAGCTGCTTGACTTGCCACCAGGTATGTCAGACCATAGTCGCCTTCCCCATACATGCGCTAACGAAACACAGAGATAAGGAACCGCATCTATGAGCGCATGAGCGAGGAGGTGCCCATCAGGATGTGTCGACACGACGACCCGGCGCTGGCTCAACGCGAAGGCGAACCCGCGCGCACTTCGCGTAGACAGTACTACAACCTCACTCAAGTATGCCAACAGATTCGCAATGAGTTTCTGCCGATATACGCGAAGAAGGCGCACTACATCATCGACCTTTGGAGCCAAAAGTCGAATCTCGTCAAAGTGGATTCTCTCAAGGGCCAAGTTTCCTTGGACATCGATGCGGCGTGCTTCGATATGGAACCCATCGACTTGTTGCCGCTCATCAGATGCCTTGTCCGCACACGCCGAACCGACTGTCGTTTCACATCTACCGAGGGAGTAGTCTTCCGCAGTATCTCCGAGATCGTTGCCGAGCTTAACAAGCTTCTTCCGAACCCCGAGAACAGCAACCAAAGCTGGCTGACCGCGGTCAACGGACCAATGAAGAGGATTGATTTGCATCTATTCCCCCACGACGACATCCGACAATACTATCGATTCCGAGGTGCTGAGCCTCTGCTGCGTGTAGTCTACCCATCGGCCGTGAGTGAGGAGTGGATGAAGCGGGCTTCCAAGTCGGAGGGATATGAAGCCTACTTGCAGAAGACCGGATTGGACAAGTTTGAGATGCACGTTGTTGTCGGCCACGCCTCTCGACGGACTACGAACGAAGGCCGCCTGCCACTTGATTGGCGCATGAGCTACCAGCTCTCGAGGCACTCAATCGACCGCGCCCCTCGCATGTCCATGGATATTGCAGCCGCTCGCATGTCTATTGACAGAGTCCCGCGGATGTCATGATGATAACTTGATAATGTTTTGATTGAGAGCGTACCTAGCTGCCAGTGCTTACGTTCTGCACTTTGCGTGTGAACTGTCTGCCATGTTAGGTATGGCTTTTTATGATTTCTACGAGTCGCAGGGCCCGTTTTCTTGTAATGTTTTTATGGGAGGGCAATGTACCTGAAGATGCACGTTGTAAAAGTGCGTTAGGCATCCCTTGGCGAATGACGCTGATCCGCAGCTGTTGTGGGCGGCCTCATTGATTGTCCCCGTTTATGTTCCTCCGTATACCCAGAAGTCAATCTAGTGTGTTTTCGTCTTTCCAATTATTGCATCATGAGTGAGAGAAACCTGGAAGAAGAGCAGCCCGCAGCTCCAAAATGCACGCCCAACTACGACACCAGTGATCCACTCCAGCAAGAGGTCACGCGCATACTCCGAGGTTTCAAAAATGACATTCTCGGCATCACATTCCTAGGCAACGATGGCGTCTTGCGCTCTTTGACTGCAGATCGAAAAGTGCTATCTGCAGAAGGCCTTAGTAAGCCTCTCTTGTACGAGAACGGCCATTGTTAATCCAGTCGTACAGGCCCTGAATTCATCGAAGCTTTTTTGGCTCGCTTCCCGGAAGAATACAAGGCGAAGATGACGGATCCTGTGTTCGCAGATGGCACCAAGACACCGAAGGAGAAGTGGTACGAGCCAGACCCAGGGAGCCTGCCGGAGCCGTTGTCGCAGGAGGAGATCGAAAAGGTCAAAAACCAACCCGAAGAGCGGAAGAACATACTGCGGAAACGGTTGCAAGAGGACAAGAAGTGAGTCGTGATGGCATGTTATGATACGGCTACTAATAATGCAAAGCCTCTTAGATGTGACTGGGGTTCTTGCTTGATTGTTCAATTACAGGCGCTTGGCGAGCTGCCATGCGACGATACGCCATGCTAGATGAGTGAGCCTATCAATAACGGGACGGATGGAAGATGGATGCGTTGTTTCAATCGCCCGAAGGATATAGTCGCGTTCCGAAGTGTGTGATGCGTGACATCATCCACCCCGCATGTTAGCTAAGACGTATAGGCTTCTCGAACCTCAATACCTTTTGCCAAATAGCCCCCATGTACCATGCGCGTCCACGCCAAGAGTGGCTCACAACTTCGTAGCAGACCAGATTTCGCCTGATCTTCATTACGACAAGCACCGTCTAGAGAACTCAGTAGTACTTAGCTACATTGCCGTAAGGTCCAACTAGCCAGATATCTTCGTAGATCAGATCTCAGCAACGTTGATACTATGTCGTCATCTTTCATACTGATTTGGGTATAGCAATTCTTAGCCACGGACTCATCTCCGCTTGTAATTAGTGATCAGCAATATGATTAGAAAACGGTAGGGTCGACAGAGCTTCAACGGTGCGTACGCCATGTAATCATCGGTGCATTTCCTCATTAACACTGCACGAAATCATCAAGCTGGCCCCACTTTACTGCTTGGGGACTCGCACAGACTCCGATCATTACTCCAACGCCACATGGCGCATCGGCGCATGCTGAGTGATTACTGTGCTTGATAATTACATTGCAGTGGGCACAGACTCCACCATGGTGAGCTGCCATTTCGCCGACTTCACGTCTCTTGGTCTTCCTCATTCTACCATTCTATGGACAGGTCTGACATACCAGTGCAATTCCTAAATGTCTCGCAGAGCTTGCGCGACGGCACAATCTATACTGAAAGACAAATCGAAGCATGACGGCAAAGGTGTCCTGGTAACCTCGGAATCTACTTCCAGGTCTAAAGAAAAGCTTTGAGCGTCGCTACCATGGTTGACAACTCAAAAATCGTGTTGAACGCTGAGAACGCTTTAGGATAGCGCTAAATTGCGACTGGGTATCTGCTCTTGGCCCGAATTGCGGGTCCATATTTGAAGAACAAGAATGGAATGGGTACCATTCCTAGGGAGAGAAAACCGAGCAGTGAAGTCGCCCAACCGATGCCGAGGGCGTCGTACACTGGTATAAGTGTCAGCTTGTGTAATATTGTTATAGTTGCGAGCCTGCCACAGTCGCGCATCATGACTTACTTTGTACAGTGAAAAGTGGAAAGACAGCCCCAAGTATGTATCTGACTATTCCGTTGGCCGCTATAGCCGATGCACCGTTCATCGCGCCATATACGTCTGAAAGATACAGTGCAGAGGATGTCTATGGAAAAAGCTTGTCAGCACCAATGTATCGCAAGTTCGAGTCACGATACGACTTACAAAAACACAGAGATTACCCCACGCGAATGGTATAACTCCAATTATAGTGGGAGCCCAGTGAACGCCCTGATCAGCGCACCAGCCGAACCAGAATAAGCCAATGACCATGCCCCAGGCACCACCCATTGCGCTATACAAGCGATGCTCGGGGTCAACATGCGACTTGCCATTCGAAACTGTCTCTCGATATTTTTTCTGGTAGAGTGTGCGATCGACGATAATGGTAGTTATTCCTCCAAGAATGACGCCAATCAAGATGGGTATAAACACGAGACCAGACTGAGAGGGCGTGAAAGAGTACGGCGGCCTTGTGAAGACGTAGGGAAAAGCTGCGAAGAACAGGAACAGCACTGCAAAGGCGAAACCTGTATAAAGCGAGAAGAAGAAAACCACTGGCTACGCAAGATTAGCTGAAGGCCAATGGGGACTGAGAAGGCACTGGCAGACATACCTCCGTTGAAATCAGATGGAGAGGCCGAATAAACCTCATGACTATCTCGCTCGTCAGATCTGCAGTCTCCTGTTTTGTGACAATTCCCTGCTTCTTTGCTCGCTTCTTCAGAATAATCGGCTTGTACGTTTCACTCATTGGTAGAGCGACGATGTACACAAATAAAGCAAGGAAGAGGATGCACCATTGGGTCCACTTCCAAGTCTTGTACTGCGCAACGAACCCTCCAACAACAGGTCTGTCACTATCATTAGAATCGAAAACCTCATGGATTACAAGTGTCACCTACCCAATTGAAGGTCCAGCAAAGGGAGCCATCAAGAATAAGCTTGTAGTTAGGGCGCGCTTATGTGGTGGATATAGATCTGCGTTCGTCCCCGCACCGACGGCAAGCCCTGGACTACCCGCTAGGCCTGCGAAGAACCGACATATGATTAGGCTTGCATAGCTTTTTGAAAAGCCTGCACCGAGTGTAAAGAGCATAAATATAGGAAAGAAGAATAAATAGACAGGTTTTCGGCCTTGTCTTTCGCTAAAGGGTGCGGTAAAGATTGGACCAAATGCGAGACCGAGCGTATACAATGTGACTCCGACAAGCGCAGCGGTTCGCGATACCTGAAAATCGCGCATCACGTCTGCAATTGCAGGTGAATACACAGACGTGCCGAATGTGCTGAATCATTAGTCTTCCCCAGTGATATATCAAAATTGGCTTAAAACTTACACAGCAAACCCAAAGACGGCAGGGATCGTGGTATGATAAGCTGCTTTCCATATAGACCAGTTGTGCGGGTTGTCGGGGTCATCAGGGCCGTTCCAGTCTAGAGAACTAACAGGCAATGTTCTCGATTCATCCTTATCCGCTACTCGGTCGCTGGCGCGTTGTTCTTCCGAGATATTCGCAATCTGGCCCGGAGGCTGATGCTCGAAATCGGAATCTTCCTGCTTTTCAGCAAGGGCACTCTCTGGATCATGGATAAATGTCGCATGTCCATCTTGGTGGTGACGGGAACTCATGACGAAGAGTCCGGTAGGGAGGTTGAGGACGATGCAGATTGAATAAGGGCTTGTTGGCACTCCCTCTGATATGTAGTAGGCCAAGAGTGCACGTCCTATTGTTTACTAGACTTTGTGATCCCATTGCTGTACGGAGCCCGCAGTACGGCCGCACGACGAAGCGCCACAGATTCAGATCTGGCATTTTAAATTACTCACCAACCGTGGGGGGTATGATAAAAGAGAGGTTTCGACTGAGTTGGATTGAAACGGGCGGCATTGATTGGCTGAGTGCAGGGGATCCGAGGCTCGTTATTGTGTTTACTGATCATGCACTGCAGGTCTGAAGCAGTGGCGTGCTCGTATTGAGTCTCATCACGAAGCACGTCAGAACCAGAGTAATATCACGTGTACATACTCGATTCCAGTAACCTCGGGAGAAAGCTGATAAATGCCTATGTTTGTTGTGGTGATGAGTAGTAAAGAGAAAGGTTGAGAACCGGAGGAGCGAGATGTTGAAAAGCCACGATGACATCATTAGGTACATTGGGAAGTGCTGCCGAGCAACTTCAAACTTCGAGCTTATTCCTGGGCATGTATAGGAAGTGCCCATCATGTTTATCTGTTTCTCTTGCTCTACATCCGTTCGAAATAACCTTGTCATAGCCTCCCAGCTGTTGGCGGAAGTATCCTCTCAGCCCAAGACACTTTTGCTGGCTCCATCACCCAAGCCTACGCAGAAGTTAGCCAACCCTGCAACCCTGCTGAATGATTATTGCAAGTATTGCGATAAAGGCTGAAGCGAGGAGGAGCTAGAATGACTAAAAAGAAGCAGGAATGCGGGTAAGTAATAGTAGAACGTAATGTATATATATCTTGCGCTACTGTATTGGCAAAACATATTGCAATGGAACTAACGCCTAAGTATGCATGGTGATATAGGTTGTGTGCGATGATTGTGTTCTTCCAAGGCTTGAAGCGGGCGAGTGAGCGATCAACCGCGTGCGCGCGTGTTGCTATCTGACGCATCATCGCTCGGCGCACACTCCATCTTGTCGAGCTCGGTGATTGAATTCCGATGCAACTTCGTTCTTTTGATACCAAAAGACACTAGTAAACCAACTGCGCCGACAATTGTGTAAAAGATCCACATCCCTCTCAGTGCCCTCATGAACCCGTGGCGAACCACATGGGCCTGAGATTCAGTAAGTTCAGTGACGATGACGCTCTGAGACATAGCTTCGCCTCCAGCAAACTTCAAAGCAATGTCCCTCGTGACGCCACTGTCAACAATCTCCTTGGAATATGGAGCCATGAGGAGCTGGAATACCACTTGGCCTATGACAAGACCAATCGCACCTGAAATCGTGCGTACAAAGCCAAAAGCTGCGGTACCTGAGGCGATATCTGATTCTTGAATCCGTGTTTGCAGAGCAATGAGCGGTGCACCGAAATTGGGACCAAATCTGGTCTATTCATTAGTAATTGACGTATGTATAGAGATTGCGTACACCAACCCTAGGCTGATGACAATCAGCACCACAATGATGATTTCGAGATTTGGCGAAGTACCCAGCGAGATAAGCAGGCCGACTCCAAGTGTCATAATAAAGAGTCCCATTTGAAGCGGCTCGAGAAAGCGACCAGTCTTTTCGATGACATGACCAGACACAAATGAAATTATCGCTAACGGTATTGCGATTGCGAGCATGTAAACTCCTGTGATACTTCAGATAGAAGGGTGGAAAGTCAGTATATGTTTCACATCCGGTCTTCGAGAATACCACTTACCTAGAGCTGCGACCAAGGACAACTTGGAAGTATAGAGGTAGAAAGTAAGCCACCGAAGTAAAGACTAGAGTGTCGCACGCACAAACAGCTAACGCGCAGAGGTTGCTGATATCTTTGAATATTCGCAATGGCATAATTGGGCTCCCACCATGTTGAGCTACCCAATGTTGTGAGAAAGGAAAGGCAATGTACGCAATCGGTCCAAACACCAAGCACGTAAGAACTCCTGCATTCGAGTATGATGTAACACCACCTACTTGGAGACCAACAAGCAGCAGTACAGTAGCAGTGACTATTGTGATAGTACCCAGCCAGTCCATGGCTGCGAGGCCGGCCATGAGAGGTACTCGTGGGTTGTGAACGTGCAATGTAAGGTAGAGAACCACGATTGCGAGCGAGACGATTGGTATGTTGATGTAAAAACACCACGTCCAATAAAGACGTTGTGCGAAGACGCCACCAAGTACGGGTCCAAGAGCGGATGCCAGAGCCCAGACGGCGCCGACGGTACCCATGTAGAATGACCGATCCCGGATCGTGAACAGGTCACTGACGCATACATGTACTAGAACCACGACGCCCCCTCCGCCCAGACCTTGGACCACTTGACCAAAGATGAGCATGGAAGAACTTTTACTGACGGCGCACAAGATGCTGCCGCCAAGGAGTACTGCGTTGGCTGCAAGAATGACCGGTTTCCTACCAAATATGTCCGAAAGCTTACTCCAGAAAGGGATGGATGAGGCATTCGCGAGAAGGTAGGAAGATCCCGTCCAGGCGTATACGGAGTCGGAGATGCGAAAAGACCGAGAGATCGTGGGAAGAGCCGTTGGTATGAGTACGGTGTCGAGTGCTACCAGGAATATGGAGAGACAGAGTGCGACGAAAGCCGCTAATACATGATGCGTGGGTCTGATCTGCTCCTTTGATCGTACTTCTCCTCGTGCGTTGCTCCTTGGCCACGAACTCAAGAATTTCATGATGATGTCATGGCTTCTTGTAGGTTTCAGCTCTAGCGAAGAGTTGACTTTGTTCGTATTCGATGTACGTGATGCTTCTGGCCTCTGGCTCTTGGTCGTCGTTCTGGCCTTGCTCGATTCAAAGGTCATAACGATACGCGCATATGTAATGACAATAAACAAATAATGGCAGAACATAAACGAGGCAAGCCTTGCTTATTGAGTAACCGCGAGCAATCTTGAACAGCCTTAAAAAATGAGTTGGAAGTTCAATCGAGATATTAACAACTTATACTAAACCTGCATTGCGACAACGCTTATGCGGTCGTCACTAAAATCCCGCGGAATCAGCCCGGAAATCAGTTCTCCATAGGCTTGCGGATAAACGGGTTACATCCTTGAGTATGCATGCGTCTTAGGCCTGGATACACCGGAACAAGGTATGGTCGTACTTGCAGGATGTCCCTAGCTGAGCTTAGATGTCTGTGCATGAAACACTTAGACGTCTTTGAGACCCTGGGATTATTAGGTAACAAGAGCTCGTAACTCGACCTTATGTGGGGAACATAGCGCATACCAACTATGTATTCTTTGTTTCCTAGCTAGGTGGCCCTACACGGAGGGATCCTACCAAGGTGGAAATAGGCGAGTTCGGGCAAGGATAGAACAAAGCCATAGCGAAAGCCATCTTTGTATGCTGTAGCTCCAGGCTTGATATAGCCTAGATGCATCCTATGCGTTTTGTACATTTGGAACTTACCTCAAGCACCGATCATGTTATCCAATCCTCGGTGTTTGAGAGCCGCGTCTCCATCCAGTATGGTAACTCGATACCGGGATGCTCTATCGCTCAGTTAGACCCTTGCAAAATCACAGGCGCGATCATGTAATCATACTGGTATCGCGATGTATTGCGTCTCGCCAGCAAAATTGCAGGCCAGTAACATGGGCAGCCAAGTGGGAAGTTTTACTGGCACGAGCTTTTAGGCACTAAGAATCGCGCCCCAAATAGATACATCGCATTCAAGCTGATTAGACAGGGTCAGATTCCGTGCGCCACCAGCGCTACCGGTATTTCTGAGTTTTGTCGCGTGGAGCTATCCTTCCCGTAAAACGTTGCTATAAACGCAACACCATCAGTCGGGAAGCCGGGCGACTCTGAACTACGCTTCTCTAGGCAATGATATTCACACGGCATCTGCCAACACCATTGTGATACGAGACACGTATGTCTTCATGTTCGCGTGTTTGCGGCTACCGAATAAGCCTGATGCGTCAAAGCTGCCGTAGAAATTGCTGGAGCTTAAGCAGTAACCCATATCAATCCGGTAGGTTGGTACTACTCTGTTAAGCCGGGTATGGCAACGTATCGGGTGAGCCTGCTCAGTGAGCGTACCAACTCCACCTCCAGTGCTCTATTCTAACTCGAGCTAGATGTGGAATTGCAACCAACTTTGGGCGCAGCTTGGTCCAACAGGATCGGCTGTCATCCATATTGAAATGTTCTAACATGACCGGTCTGATGTGGGAAGGTCACAAAGGCATTAATCTTGATCGTGATGATGGTGGAACCGGACTAGCTCAGTTGGCATTCGATGGTGGCGAGCGCAATGCAACAGCGGGTATCCTTGGAAGCTGTAATGATAACTAGAGTAGGTGAGCATTAAAGAAACACGTTCGGTTGGATACTTGAGTGGCGTGTAGATAGCTGCTCTCGATCTGCAAACCAGATGTCTTGTTCGAGACATATGAGTTGTTCATCGTCTGAATGCTGGGTTTGTGGAGATATCGTTGGTACAATGCACCTTCTGTGCTGAATGTCGCGCAGGGTGGATACTGTTCGGGAAGAACACGGGGTTCAAGCGCTCGTGTAGCGTTACGGAAACTGAGGGGATGGCACTGGTAGCACAATCGATTTGTATAGGGGATGCCGAGAACAATCCTTCAAAAATCCTCGCCGGGCAGACCCTAGTCCTGCTCTGCGAAGTACGTCGTCCAGCCGTTCAGTATCAAATCTCCCCCACGTCGCTTCGCAAAGGATTGTAAACCGAGGAGCTACTGGCTTGAAAAAGACGAGCGTCGGGGAGACGGTGTTGAGCGTAGGAGGATGTAGCGACGCAGTAGCATTCGGAGGAGCTGACGCCGGGCAGCAGCGGCCCGCACGCGCCGGGGGGGGGGGGGGGGGGGGGGGGGGGGGGGGGGGGGGGGGGGGGGGGGGGGGGGGGGGGGGGGGGGGGGGGGGGGG